AAGGGATAAAAGTGAATTTAGACCAAAGGTTGTAGAGCTTCTTTCCCATTGTATTCTGCTCAAGGTTTCTTCCCACAAAATAGAGCAAGAATCATAGTATTTGAGAAAAGAGACCTCAGGAACAGAGCAACTGAGCACAAGGGCAGGGAGAGACTGTAACCTGCGCCCAGGGACTGGAGAAATTTTTTTTTTTAAAGTTGGAATCCGTCAGTGTTTGGTTAGTCCTGTCCTTCATCCTTTTCTTCCTCTTCATCATCTTCATCTTCATCACCTCCATCCCACCCCTTCATCAATGTCTTCCAGTCTTTTTTCGGTACTGGGAATCAAGCTCAGGACCTTGCGCTTGCCGGGAAGGCGCTGTGCCCCTGAGCTATATCCCCGGCCCTCTAGTCCTTCTTTATTGTCATCTTCTCCTGCCCCTCCTCGTCATCCACATTAGGAACCAGTAGCACTGCATTGGACTTGGCCCAGTATCGTCTTCAGTGACTTCTGACTCCTCTGCACGCGCATCCCAGTGGTCAGGAAGCTAGGGAAAGAAGCGCGTGGGGTCTTCATGCTGCCTCTTCCTACTGCCTTTATTCTGTTTGACTTGAACATTTTGTCAAGTACTTTGCAGATTTCCATTGGATTTCAATGGAAGTCACCGCTGTCATTCAGATGAAATTCTTTGAAGAGAACTTTATTTTCAAAGGATTTTCATTGAAATAAAAATCTATTCTGTAACCTGATCTTGCATCTTCAAATTCTGTCACTTCAACTGTGGTCAAATAATGCTGCCTCCACCTCTGCTTTCCCAAGCAGTGCAGATACTTGCGGATGGTTAGCAAATGTTGTTATCCCAGAATTTGGGACTTTGGCAAGCAGTTCTGAAAGAAATGGTTGGCGGAGTTTGTGATATTGCTGTTCTACTTTCATTATCTCCTCGGTGGCTTGTTCATTAAGTCTGTTTTATTTTGTACTTCATCAGTATGTTCCCTTGCTTTATATTGTTCTTTCTCTTCCTTGGGCAGGCCCAGCAGGCTGGCCCATCCACAGACTTGGGCACAGGTTGTCTGGGCTTTTTGTCAGAGTGGGAAGACTGGCACTTGGGGACCATGACACAAGGGAAGTCCCAGCACCAGCCCAAGGGTTGTCTCAGGCCACAGGAAGCAGCTCAGTTTTCTTCATATTTTAAAATCTGTTATTTTCAGTACTGGGTATGGAATACAGGGGTGCTCTATCATGGACCTACATCCCCAGCCCATTTTCTTTTCATTTTTTAACTTTTTTTTTTTCTTGAGACAGTCTCACTGTGTAGTCCAGGCTGGCCTTGAACTCGTTCGATTCTATCCCTACCCCATGGCACTAGACTGAGCCTCAGGATGTCTGAAACCCCTCACTGTGGTCTCATCGTTATGTCCTGGGAAGCGGGGGCGCTCAGTAGAGATCAGCTGCTAAAGGAAATACAAGCGAGTGTAGGATAAATGATGTAGCTCAGTTCCCCTTGAGGAGGAAGCCAGTTGCCCAAGAATGCAGCCATTTAGTAGCAGAACAGTGGCTGCGGCCCAGATCTCCCACCCTTGAGACCCTGGCCCTGAGCCCTTCCCACTGGCACAAGCAGACCTTTACGAGATGCTGTGTGGGGAACCCCACATTCACATCTTAGCGAGTCCTAGTCAGTCCAGTCATAGGCTCAGGCCCTTTATTAAGCGTGTGTCTCTTCAACCCAGACAGTGCTGTGATGCTATTGAGTCCCCAAAATTTACGTGGATATTGCTAGAGATTAACCCCCTCATTAGACCCCCTCTCCAACGTCTTCAGCGTAACTTTATCATTTTACTCAGTATTTTCTCTCAGAGGGTAAATATTTGTACAACAGACACCATAACACTGGTTATTCAGGTAATGATATCTGATATATTGACTTTTGGAAAAAAAATACAGGCAACTGACTAGTTATGTCTCTGTTGATTTTCCTAGAGAACAGTGAAGGCTGGTTTCCAAGCTGGCCAGGTTTGAGGACATCAGAGCTTTAGGGCATCCCTAACCCAGGGTGGCATTGTAACCCCAGCTGGGGTTAAATGCCATCTGCTTCCCAGGCATCCTAGCAAGGAAAGAAGTGTCACACACATTGGCAGGGGCGGTGACTGAGACATCTGTGTCCTCTCCACAGGTCGACCGTGGGTGCCATGCTGGCCTCCGAGGTAGCCGTCCTTAGCCTGCCTGGTGCACATCCTGTATTGTGTCTCATTGCTTCTCTCTCTTCTGGCCCAGAGTGGTTTGTGCACACGCTTCTGCTCACTTGCAACCATTGGGGTAACTTGGTTTTCTCCTGGGTGATTAGAAATAGTGATGAATGAAAAGCGGGGCTGCCTCGGCCCAGGGGTGAAGGTTGTACAGTGGCATCACAATGCTCTTCGTCTTGTCTCTGGGGATGGGGACATCCTTGGCAGGTGGTAGGAAGAGGGTGGTGGGATTGCGTCTATGTCTCTTGGTCACTCACTCCACGCTGGCTGTCACAAGAGCCGTACAGCCTGTCTCAGACACCCTTTCCCTTGTTCCTGAAGCTGGGCTGGAAATTCTATGATGCAGATGACTACCACCCGGAGGAGAACCGAATGAAGATGAGAAACGGGGTCCCGCTGAGTGACCAGGTAAGGTTGGCCATGTCCAACAAACGATTCCACCAGGGTGACACAGGGTGACATCTTGCAGCACTTGGTGAGTCATGGGATAACCCGTGCACAGGTGCCCAGGAAGCCAGGTGACAGTGGCCCTCCGCATGTTGGCTCCAGCCCAGCCCTCCTCTTAACTCGGGTGGGGCAGTGCCACCTCTGCACCGGCATGGGCAGGGCCTGCCACACCTTGCTGCAGGATTGGAATCTGCAAAATGCAGCCCCTGCGAGGGCAGGGGGCATTACATCCAATCCAAGGTCCCGCCAGCCTCCCTCCATTCCCAGACCCTGGCAGAGGCCACCCAAGGCCAGAGGGGTCTTGCAGACTCTTTCCTAAGCCCCTCAAGATGCTTCCAGCTGACCTCAAGGTCAAGGCCAAGGCACCTAAATTCCTAAATATCCGTAGTCTGGCCTCCAACCTCCTTTAGGAGCTCCTCACTCTTTACTTACACAGGCCGCCCCGGCCCTCTCAGTCCCTCCTGGAACAGTGTTCCCACTGGCCTGGAATGTGCCTCCTTCCCCCTTCCCCAGGGGAACCCCTCACCCTGCAGATCTCGAGTCCCGCCACCCCCTCAGGGAAGCCCTGCCTGATCCGCTTCCCTAAGGAGTTCTCCATGCACCACTTGTGTGTTGCCCAGGGCCCAGCTGCAACTCAGCAACTGATGTTCTGAGAGTTTAGTTAATGTTTGTTTCTGCAACTAGACTTTGTCCCCAAAAGGGCAGGTACAGTGGCTTTCTGTGTTACCATTGTACCTCCAGGCCTGACATGCAGTAAACACAGGACGTGTTCGGGGCATGCTTTAGAGTGCATGAGTGAATAGCAGGGCCACAGGCCATGTACCCGAGTGTCTCTCAGACTAGGTAGAGACTGTGGCTTAGCTGGCACGACTAGCTGTGACTGGGAGAGGCTGGAAGGGCCTGCCACGTGCTGCGTGTCCAAAGGGCAGGAACACTTGGAAGTGGCCAAAGACCAGTGCCTATGCTCAGCTCCAGTGGCCTCAGCTGCCCCAGCTGTGCTGGTGCCATCTCATTCCTTCCCTGTGCTGTGCCCGAGTCACCGAAGCCATAGCCCTTCTCTGGCTGGTCCCAGGGAACAAAGGCCATGCGGTCTTTTCTGAGAGGGTGCAGTGTAAGTTCGCAGTGGTTTAAGCCTTGAGCCATCAAAATTCAGTTTGCAACGTTTAACTTTGGCTTTAGGAAGCAGAACAAGGGAACCATAAAAGGTACCAAGCAGGGATACAGCTCAGCAGTACAGTGCCCACCTGGCAAGCGCAACGTCCTGAGTTTGAGTCTGGGTATCAAAAAATAATAATAATTTAGATACAATAGTGGTCTTATACTGGAAGTAAACATAATAGAGGCACGTGGGCCCAGCACAGGCCTATGTGACCACTGGCAAATGGCTTCATCTTTCTGTGCCTCCGTTTCTTCCTGTGAAGTAGGAATGGCAACAGGACCTATTCAGTTGAGTTACAGGAGGATTCAGTGAGATCATAGGAATAATACGCACAGCATGGTGCTCAAAATATTCAACAAATGTAATTTTATTACTTATGGTACAGCCCCGCACGCGCGCCGGCACACACACACCCATAAAGCATACAAACACGCAGATAACATTCAAGAATACATAAAATGTGACTGTGCAGGTATTATTTTATATTTCTCTTCAGTGACAATAAATAAAAGGTAAGTTATACAACAAGTGAAGCAACTTGAGTGAACTTTAAAATGTCACACATCTTTGTTCATGATACTTTTTAAGTAGGAAGTGTAAGCTGGGAGTAGGGGCACTCACCCACTCAGAGACTGAGTAAGGAGGAGCCCAAGTTCAAGCCTAGCCTGGGCAATTGAGAAACTTAACAGACTGTCTCAAAAATATAAAAGGGGCTCAGGATGTAGCTCAGTACAAAGGCTTTGGATTCAAGCCCCAGTAACACACATACATAAAAAGTAACCAGCGTGAATGTGGTAGGTAGAATTCAGAAGAAGAGGCAATAATATACGGGCGAAAAGATTATTGGTTACTGGAAGAAAAAGTATTTGCCCTTTACCCATAGGCATTATATCCCAGGTCTCCCAGGGTGCCCGAAGCCATGCAGAGTGCCAAGTCCTGTGTACGCTTTGCTTCTCCTGTGCATACATGTCTCCCACAGAGTTTAACTGAGAAGTTAGGCAGTGAAAGATGAACCCTGAATGATAAGTGCTAAAACAGAGCAATTATTACTATAATAAAACAGAGCAATTAGTGCTATAATAAAAGCCATTTAAAACTTATGAATTATTTATTTCTATAATTTCCCATTTAATATTTTTTGGACCACGTTTGACCTGAAACCGTGGCCGAGGGCACTGCTCTGCACACTGTGTGACTGAACGCTTCCAGGAGAAGCTGTAAAGTCAGGCAGACCTCGGAGAGGATATGGTAGACAGCACCCGACTTACACTCTCGGCAGGCACATAGGGGGTCTAGGAGTGCGGGGACAGGTCCCAGCTGGACTGGCTTCTGTGTCCCCCTGTTCTGGCACCCAGTGCCACACTGTGTGAATCGAACAGTGCCCAGGGAGGGCACACTTGTATTTCTGGCCCCAGTACTTAATGTGGTGCCCTTCATTTCTGTATCCTAACAGGGATCTCAACTTGGTGGAAGAGACAGATCAGTAGATAACCAGTCTGCTCACCCTCAGGGCAGGGATCGGGGCCATAGAGAGATACTAAGAAGGGCTAAGACGGCACAGTGGGTCAGGAGGTCCCTTCTGATCAGGGCTTACGAAAAGAATCATGCATGCAGGATAGACAGGATTCCAACTGGAGAAGGGCCTGCCAAGCAGGGGGTGGAGGTGAGGTGAACGGGGACATGAAGGTTGTGTCCTGAGGCTTGGGTTAGTGGAGGAGGTGGACACAGCGCTGTGAGCAGGGCTGTGGGGGCTGCTGTATGAAGGGGCTCAGGCGACTGACGGGACACCAGTTGGCCAAGACCTGGAGTGACGTGCTGAGGAGTTTGGACCTGTTGCAGAGGTCTGAGGAAGGACTTGGACACATGAGCGCCATGTCCTTGATGTTCATGAAGAACAGAAGAGATCTCTATCTCATTACAGTTGATGAAATTGGGACCAAAACAAGGAGATCCTGAAGCAGAGCTGCAGAGCAGTGCACCCTCCAAACATTGCCATGGACAAGGAACAACGAAAGCCAAACGCACAAAAAATGAGGAGGGGGAACAGCGCAAATGAGCATGCTTGCATGCTGGATCTGATATTCAAGGTCATGTCACTGTTGAGAGTCCCTACATGAAGAACTGGGGGCGCAGGGGCAGTGCATTCTCTGTATGCAGTGAATCGGGTTAAGCCAGAGCCACAGGAGGTTCCCTCGCTGATGGTTTCAGTGTGTGAGGGGAACGTTAGGGAATAGGGAGGGTGCTGAAGAGGCTGATGGGGGGAATGGAGAAGAGGAAGAGGTGGAGGAAAATGCCAGAACACTGTGAGAGGGAGAGGGAAGGGATGAGTGGGGAGGAAGGCAGGGGCTGGTTAATTTAAATACACAGAGAAGAGGACACGTGGAAAGAGTAATTTTGTGCCACCACCCCAGAAGAGGAAGAAAAACTACAGCATTCAACTAGTATATATTTCTGGAAGATGAGATCAAGTGAGTGAAGTTTTCAGTACTTCCTAGGTTTTCTGTATAGAAAGAGATATTACATTTATAATCGAGAATTTATTTTTTTAAAAGAGCCCTTGTTTTCAAACAAACTCTGAGGCTAAAGCTTACTTGGGCTTCCCTGCTTGCTCCAACAGCACAGCATGGGCCTGGTTCGTGAGGATTTGTTGACTGGCAGCTTGGGAACTCCATGAGTAATAACATCAGGATCACCTCCGAATGCGTCACAGCCTGGGTGGGCATCTGTCTAGGCTGGCGCTATCTCCAAGGCTGGAATGTCATACAGCCGTGCTGTCCAGTATGGTAGCCATATGTGGCTCTTCAGCTCTTTAAGATATGACTAATGCAACCCAGTGAATAGATTTTGCATTTTAAGTTAATTTTAGTTCATTTACATTTAAACAGCCTTGTTTAACTCAGACCTGAAAGGGAGACACTACTCATGTTTATATCCCCACTGCTCCGTATGGTGCTTTGCATATATTAACATTCAGTGTCTGGATGAAAACCCTGAACCCCAAGGCCAAGGTGGCCAGTGCCCGTGTGGCAGTGGCAGTCATCAGCACAGCTTTGGGGCTACAGGATGTGCCAAGGACCAACTTGTGTTCCAGGGACCATGAAGATGCTCATTTCTGGCACTTACAAAAGATAGTGATGTGCTGCTTCACAAAATGCAGATTCAATACCCAACAGCCTCCTTAGTAGCAAAAGTAGCAACGGCCCAGGGTGACAGCTGGTGACGATAGTACTTCCAGTGTCCTTATCTTTGGAGAGCTGCTGAAACACAGATCTCTAATTTCTGGGGGTCTTCATCCTAGATTGATCACCGAAAGTTTTGAAACTGCGAACGAAAAGGCCCTTAAGTTTTTGGAACAGGTCAAGATGAGCAGGGAGATGGCCAGACTTACAGATGGGACCAGAACATCTCTACGTAACAAAGTTCATGCTGAACTTGCAGATGTCTTAATAGAGACCATTTTGGCCATTTTAAGAAAGGATGGACCTATTGGTTCATTCAAGGTTGACATCACGGAGACAGCATAAATCTGAAACCCATACAAGCTTAATCAGAGGGCTGGTTCTGGACCATGGGTCACGGCATCCCACTATAAAGAAAATAGGGGAAATTCATACATCTTCACATGCAGTGTTGCCTTGGAATACAAAAATTTTAAAAATGAACTCTGGCTTTTTCTACGAGAATGCAGAAGAGAAAAACTAGTAAAAGCTGAAAGAAAATTCACTAAAGATAGAGTTTAAAAAATAATAGAACTGCAAAAAAAAAGTCTGGTTCAGAAGAAGAATTCATTGTTATTAATTGA